CCGGTGCCTTCTTTTTACTCCCTATGTATTTGAAAAAGGACTTTTTGTCATCCCTAATCCTGGTCACTAGCCCTAGCTCCATCTCTGCCTTGACCTTCCTAACAGCCTCCCTGCAATCATGAGCAATGGAGGTGTAATCCTCCTTGGTGACAGCCCCTTGCTTCCACTGTTTGTACATCTCCTTTTTTTCCCCTCAGGCATTCCTGCATGCCTTTTCTGAGCCATGGGGGTTTTTTAGCACTCCTGCCCCCCCTTGGTGCGCATTGGAACTGACTCCTTTTGAGCTCGGAGTATCATCTCCTTGAGGAACAACCACCCGTCTTGGACTCCCATCTAATTGAAGGTCCGAGACCCCAATGGCCTCTTACTAATCTTAGTTCATTGAAGTCAGCCCTCCTGAAGTCAAGGACTTTTGCCTTACTGTTTGCTTTCACCACCCTGCGCTGGATAGTAAATTCCAGCAGGCAATGATAACTGTCACCCAGGTGGTCGAGTACCTGCAGACCCCTCACCAGGTCATCGCCTCTGGCAAGGACCAAGTCCAGCAAGGCATTTCCCTTGGTGGGACTATGCACCTCCTGGGTTAGGTGGAGGTCCTGTATCCTGGCTAAGAACCTACGTGAGCAGTCGGACCTGGCTGACTGCTCCTCCCAGCAGATGTCTGGGTAGTTTAGGTCACCCATGACAACCACTTCCCTTGACTTTACAGGCTCTGTGAGCCGACCTGAGAATTCCTGGTCCAGCTGGTCCCCCCTGGTGAGGCAGTCTGTAGTAGAAGTCCACTATCAAGTCCCTTTCCCCACGACCCCCTTGCATTGTTACCCACAGTGCCTCAGGTTGCCCCTCCTTTGACCCCATCCTGATCATTGAGGATGTGTATTGCTCTTTGACATAGAGTAGGGTGAAAAAGAGTGTGTGTGTAGCACTCTATCTCACTTGCATAGCGTGTAGCCCTCTGTGTCTACTGCCCAGTCATGGGTAGAATCCCACCAGGTCTCTGTGAGCCCCACTAGGTCTGGGTTTTTGCTAGCTAGCAGGAGGGTGAGTTCCTCCTGCTTATTCCCCATGCTTTGAGCATTTGTGTAGAGGCATTTGAGGCCTCCTGTAGGTGCACGTGCCGCCCACTTGTTCCTAAGTCTGCCCTGGCCCCTGTCACTTACCTGGGTACTACCTGCACCTATTTATTTATAACTGTACTCCATTAACTGGACATAAGAAATAACAAATTTGATTACATACCCATCAGCCCTATTGTCTCTCTGCGAGTTTGTGTGCATACAGTCAAGCCATTACCTTTCTCTAAAAGTGCAAAGTTTCAAGAAGTTATATGAATAGAGGATAGCAAACAACAAGAACGAACTTTTTGTAGAAAACAGTGATGAAATTGATGCATCCTGACCAGAGATTTAAATCATGGGTTATTCTTTGATTTCCAAAAATTTGGCAACTGAAGAAAGTTTGATTTTAATTTTTTTATTCAAATTTGGTTTTCATGTTTACAATAAATAGCTTTTTTTCAACTTAGGATGCTCTAATACAGATTCTGCCTTTCTTTAGATTTAAATTTTACATATTCTTTTGCTTTACTAAAAATATTTGTAGCTGTGCTAGTATCTGATGCTTACGGATTCCATCACACTGAAGTACTAGTATAAGTTACTAGATAATCACTTCAACCATCCCAGAAATGGAGGCACCTCCTGGGTGAAACAATGTGGTAGCTTTTCAGGAGTGCACATTAATGTTATGTAGCAGTACAGGGAAGAAACTGGTGAATGCTCTACTTTCCACTCAATACAGTTGATCAGGTAGAAAGCAAAAAACCAGGTAGTGAAAGTATTCTCAGCAAACTCACAGATAACCTGACTGTGTCCATGCAAGCTTTGGGGTCCTCACTTTCTCTTCTTTATACTTTCTTTAATAATTATGTATAGGGACTTAAGAATTCAAGGTGGCAGTGGCAGCTGCAGCTACTGATGCCCCCATCCCTGATTTTGTGTGTAGAACTTGGGACCCAGGCAACCATTTTGTGGGTGGAGTATGACAGCCTTACCTTCCCCCCAGATGCCTCTGATTGGCCGAGGAGCCCTGGTGGCTTCACTCCTCACTGCTGATTGGCTGGAAGGGCTGCCTGTCATATGGCCCCACACCACCTCTGACTGATGGCATGGGGTGGGGCCACATGGCAAGCAGCTCCTGCAGCCAATTGGTGGTGGGGTGGCAGCCATCTTGCTGGCAGTCCTTTGAGCAGGCAGTCCCCTCCCCTCTTCCATGCCCTGATGAACTGCCAGCTCTTGGGGAGCCCACATGTTATTTTCTGTAAGTTTGGGTTTTTTTCTTCCCCCGCGGATTTTGTTGGCATTGCCAACTGTTGTGGTTAATGCCAGATTTCACAAAATTGCAATGTTGCTAGGTCCCTAATTATGTATGTGGCTATCAGTGGAGATGTTTAAGTTGCTTATGAATGGTTAGAATACATTTCTTGCCTTAAAGTTAAAAAAAAAAATGTATCAAAGCAGCTGTTTAGCTGACTATTAAAAGTAATGTGTGCTCTTACAGCTATACTGAAAGTGGTGATTCACAGCTGTGGGCACTTTAATTTTATAAAGCTGGCCATTTCTCATGTTCTAATGCATGGTGCCCTGGTACTGAGAGTGCACTAAATTTGTTGCTTATTCTGTGGTGGGGGAATTAAAACTTTTACTGGGATCCCACTTGTTAGCAGGAAGAAATTTACATTTTTATTGGATTCTTGCCTCTCAATGTAAGAAAATTGCATATCACTTGATTTCCAAGTTTGTGCCATAAGTGCATCTGCTTATCTGTCATGCAGATAGTATTTGAATTGATGTTATGTATCTATATACATATGTATTTTTATTAGGTAGTACTTGGTGAAAATGAAGTCATCAAACCAAGGAAACTAAATTGCATCAACACTTCTTTTCACAGTAGATGGGAGAGAACATTTTAAAACAGACATTTCATAGTTTCATAGTTGGTAGGGTTGGAAGGGACCTGAGCAGATCATCAAGTCTGACCCCCTGCCATGTCAGGAAAGAGTACTGGGGTCAAACGAGCCCAGCAAGGTTTTCATCCAGCCTCCTCTTAAAGACCCCCAGGGTAGGAGCCAGCACCACTTTGCTTGGAAGTTGGTTCCAGATCCTAGCAGCCCTGACAGTGAAGTAGCGCCTCCTGATGTCTAATCTGAATTTACCCTCTGCCAGCTTGTGACCGTTATTTCTAGTCAGTCCTGGTAGCACTCGGGAGAACAGGCACTCCCCCAATGCCTGCTGGTCCCCTCTGACTAGTTTGTAAATGGCCACTAGATCCCCCCTCAGCCTTCTCTTGTGGAGGCTGAACAGGTTCAGGTCCCGTAGCCTCTCCTCGTAGGGCCTGCCCTGCTGCCCCCTGATCATGCGGGTGGCCCTCCTCTGGACCCTCTCCATGTTGTCCACATCCCTCTTGAAGTGCAGCGCCCAGAACTGGATGCAGTACTCCAGCTGCAGCCTGAGCAGTGTCGCATAGAGGGGATGGATCACCTCCTTGGACCTGCTCGAGATGCATCTGTGGATGCATGACAAGGTATGGTTGGCCTTCTTGACCACGTCCCCACACTATCAGCCCATGTTCATTTTGGCATCAATGATGACTCCAAGATCCTTTTCTGCTTCTGTACTGACGAGAAGGGAGTTCCCCAGCCTGTAGGTATGGTGCTGGTTCTTCCTCCCCAGGTGCAGCACCTTGCACTTGTCATTTGTATAGCAGAAAGGCTCATTTTTTCTGTAAACCAGCATAAGCCAAGCTGTTGCTCATAATTAGTTAAATTGGGAAGATAAATAGGGTGATCTTGTGAACTTGTTCAATTGGAATGTGCATTATTCTTGGTTTTCTTTTAAAATGTTGAAAAGTGAGATTTGTTTTTACACAGGAACCTTTAGCTCTGTGCATTATTTATTAAATGCTTTTTGGATTTTTTTTGTAGCATATTAAATCTCCATGTTTTACATTAGAATGAACTGTTATAATGAATAAAGTTTTGATAAAGACCTGGCTATCATTCCATTTTTATAAGACCTAACTGCTCTTAAGCTCTTCAGAATTGCTCAGATGCTGACTCCATATCTTAACAATCTTGAATGGTTACTTGAACATCATGCAATTGGTAATCTGAACTTCCTTTTAAAATATAAAATATTTTATATTAAGGATATATATTTATATTTATATTAAATATATATCCTTCATTTTTACTTGATTTGTCATAGGAGTCTTGTAATAAGTTAACAACTACGCAAAATGTACTTGGTCGTTATCATTGTAAAATGTTCTGTGATTTAACTGAGAATCATTGGTCAGCTGCTGTTAAACCACAGCTAAACATATTACTGTGTGAGTTGCTTGTTTAATTTTTGAAAAATAATACATCAAGATATTTGTGCTGATCTCTAGGAATTCAGTTTGAAAAACAAATTATGCAAGATCCAAAAGTTTTTGGAATTTGTAATTCGGGAGTCTAGATGTACAAACGCATGCATATGAGTTATTGAGTTCTGTTGGACTAACCGGGGCAAGTAACTTTTGTTTTCTTGGTCATTGGTTAAGTTGCAACTGGGTCTTTCCAACTGGGGGACAGGTGTATCTATTGAGGACTGACTACCTGCTGTACTTTGAGTTTAACTAGTGTTAACTATGGTGAGAATGCATGTAACTATATGATAATGCATGTCAGAAACAGTTGATTGGTTTTTACTTCAGACTTCCAGAGAAAAGTCAACGCTAAGCACTATATTTTTCAGTCCAGATGGACAGTTTTTATAGCTTATGAATGACTAAAGATAAATAGTTGTTTTTATATTCTTCTCTGTAACTTTAACTGCTGTGTGAATTATTTAACAAAATTTGTCCATTTAATAGGGCAAAAACTTCAGATCTAACGGTATACCTGCTGAGTTGATATTTGTGTTGGTAACTTACCAAAATGTTTTTCTTCTTTGCAGTTACCCGTGGAGCTTTCCTTTTAGATAAAGGCCTACAGAAAAGAGGATATGTTGAGCTTTTTCCGAAAAAACCAGGACACTAAAAAGGTGTCTGTGCCAGAAAGAGAAGTAGATGGATTTGTTTTTGTGGGTAAGTAATTGTAATGTAATATTGCTTTATAAGATATTTAACTTTAACATATCACTTAATTTTTAGAAAAAAAATGTGTAAAACTGAATAAGAAACTAGAAACTGACTCTTGATGGATAAGGAAAAAATGTTAAAAAATGTAGTGAAAATGTGCATGCATTTTCCAGATTTTTGAGTAGGACTATACAAACTGATTTAATTCATTGTGTGAGAGAAGCATGGATGTTTAAAGACCAAGTAAGTTAAAAATTAAGGCTGTTGTCTTGAGTAGACAGGGGAAATTAAATTTGTGGTGTTCAGAAATGGAACTATTATTTTCTTCCCACAACAAAGGTGAAAATAGGTTTGCCCATTTTTACCTAAGGTTTGCTAAACGTTGTTTTTAGTGGGAAAGTATTTAGTATTTTTTCACAGTTTTATAAGTGGATTGTATGTGAAAAAGTGAAGATGTTATTTTTATGGTTCAACTGATTCCTTTTATTTATGGCAATTATCATCTCTCGTAAGTACCTTTATGCTTCCGTTGTCTTGATTTGTTGATTTATTTGTCAGGGATCTTTTATTATGCTGTAAATAAATCTGATTTCCACCCTTCCGTCCTCCCCCCACAATACTCAGTCTCACTATTTCAGTTACAGTGGAAGCATTTAAGAAGCTTCTTTCATTTTTGTGGGTTCTACCAATTTTGAGAAATGTTCCCATATGTGTAATGGGCCTTACCACTGGAACTTTAAACAACTCTTGTAGCACAAGAAAACATTTAAATGAATTCACTGTAGCAATAGCTTCACAAACAACTGTTTGTCCTCCTTTCCAATAGATGTCCCAAGTACTTGCCAGTTATTTTAACACATCTTGTTTCAAATATCAAGGTATTACAAAAGTGAAACTCAGTTTAACAGTTACCTTTTACTGAGCTTACTTCTTCTGTATTTGGTTTGTGTGTTTTAGTTTTGAGGGCTGAAATCCGTTCATATTGACACTTACTTTCATCTCATCAAAAGCTTTTGAAGACTACTTAGAAATAATATCTATAGAGTGAGATCACTCTCAGTGTAATGACTGAAATGTTCTCCAAAATACCCTAACATAACACACAAATCTTGGTGGTTGTAATTTAGAATTGAGTCTCGTGCCTTTTTTTTTTTGAGGCGCCTTCAGTAGACTGCTGCTGTTTTGGCCCTTTGTATTAAACTAGGTTCTTGAATAGTTTTCCAGAACTATTGAGTGTATTTCACCTCTTCCCTAAATATCACTATTTTCAAGCTCTTTCACACTTCAATACAGTAGGTAGCTTAAATGTCAGAAAATACTTCTTTGCACAAGATACTTAAAACTAATGCAAGATCCATGCTTGGTCTTCTCTGGCCTCAGAGCTATTGGCAGTTCTTGCATCTAGCCATAGCTAGATTTATATTTCCAGTAGGTGCCAGACTTTTTCAGTTTGAAAGCAAAAAAAAAGCGTTGACCATATGAATGTGGTGTAGGTTGTAGCTGTGTTGGTCTAAGGACATAGGTAGACAAGGTTCTTTGGGTAAATCCAATATCTTTTATTAGACCAATTCATAATTAGAAAAAATCTTCTTTGCAAGCTTTCAGGTACAATTACCTTTCATCAGGCAGAGGAAACATCTGTGGATGGTCTGTGTTCTTCCTGGATGAAGTAGTAAAGCAGCCAGAGCAGATGCTTTACTGTTTCATCCAGAAAGAGCACAGACCATCTGCAGATAATTCCTCTGCCTGATGAAGGGTAATTGTATCTGAAAGCTTGTAAAGAAGAATTTTTCCAACTATTTGCATTGGTCTAATAAAAGATGCTGGATTTTCCCAAAGAGCCTTGTCTGCCTTGATCATATGAAGACATTTGACAGTGGAGAATCTTATGGACCTGTGCAAAAAATTCAAGAAGAGTTTTTATTCCCTGTCTCAGCAATCCCTTGGAAAGGCCATGAAAGAAGTTATGCATCTCAAGATAAGAGCATTGTAATCTGCCCTTTGTCCTGTTTCTAGCCTGAAAGAATTGAGGTCAAGGCATTTCCATCATCGTTTGACCCCAGTGCTCTTCCTGCCATGGCAGGGGGTCGGACTAGATGATCTGCTCAGGTCCCTTCCGACCCTAGAAACTATGAAACTATCTCCTCTCAGACTCAGAGACTTCAAAAGTGTGACTACAAGGGACTTCATCTACTGTTCCCAGACAAATGTTGATTGCCAGGTGCTGTGTCTAAGTGCTGGACAAAGGTGTCAGTAGCCAAGGTCCAGTGCAGCAGTCATCGCTATAGGCTGCCAATTTTGTTGGTGTTGGGCAGCTTGTACACATTGCAACAGGCTGGACAAGCTTGCTCTGACACTGCTGCTGCTAGGTGCTGCCTCCAGGTCATATTGGGGCGTGTGGTGGTGACACCAGCATGAAAGGCTCTGAATACAGGCATTCATTAGGAATTTGTGCGTTTCAAGTCAAGAACTTGGAGTAGGGTCTTGAAGTTTTAAAGTTTTAAGCTTGAAGCTTTAAGTTTTTTCTAGCTGAGGAGGCTATGGTTGTCAGGTTTGATATCCTTTGTTGGATCTTTGGTGTGCCTAGACAGAAAAAGGTTTATCTTCAATGTTTTACTTCATTTGTGGGTGTCCATATTATAAGGATGATTCTTCTTTTCAACCTGGAGTTGGATGACTATGTGAGAATCCTGTTGTAACAGAGCTGTGGATCACAGCATGAAGTACAGGAAACTTTATCTGTGCTTGCCTGAAAAAAATCTTTCTTTGACTAATAAGGTCCATTAGTCTGGCTAAATCTAGAGATAAAAGGGATCATGCAAGAGCAGAGATGAAAACTGACATCAAGGACTTTAAATTTCTCCAAAGGATAACACACCTACAGTAGTCTGCCATGGGAGAACATGTTTTCTTCTTAGAGTATGTTTAACACAAACTCTAATTAGGAAGTATATTTGAATTATCTTGGCTGCGAAAGCTATTTCAGTTGGTAGAGACTTGGGTAGTAGGCTTGTTGACAGGTTTGGTTCTACCCCCTAGCTGTACTAAGACTGAATTATTTATTGTAAAGTATGGGGATATTTTTACCAACCCCTTACCCCAAACAAAACAAAACAAAATGTATTTTAATGTGAAGTCATGGAGAAGTACAGTGCTGTCTCGTACTGTAATCTTTAGGTTGCAACCCAGTGACCTTATCTTATGTGCCTACATTGGTTGCTCTGGCCACTTTGAAACTTTGGTCTCTGTTCCATGTAACAATGGCATTTTTCTTCTTGCTTATTACCTTTTTGTCTAAATAACTGACTGATAATCTGCTAATCCCAATGTATCATTATCTGAGAATTTCTAAAAATAACTACATAAATGTAATTCTCCATATACTGATTTCTCCAGCTAAGAGATTTATGTTCCCGTTTAAGGTTTTATGATGGTACCTTAGTGATATAAATGTATTTTCTGGTTTTTGGTTTCACATGTTGAATTGCTATATCTTCTGCAATTGGCCGTTCTGTATGAAGACTGTTCGGGTGTGGGGAAAAAATCTCTAGGGGATAGAGAGTAAGTGTTGGATCCTTACTCTTCACCTTTTTGCTTCTGAGAATCTTAACAGTTTTTCTTACTACCTCCTTTCCCAGGACTGTTATGGAAAATATTTGATTTGAGGCAGCTCTGGCTCTATCTGGAATCTTCGGGTTTCTCTGATCCTTGTCATTCCTATATTAAGGTATAGTCATAGTGTAGATACTTAGAGGCTTGGTTGCTAAGCAGTCATTGACTAATCATTGAAGTTGCAAGTGTCCATAACAGATCTGAAAGAATCAGAAACTGCCTTCATACTTTCACCACCTAGCACTGATGTTTTTACTAGACCCCTTTCAAAGATAGAGTTTCACTTGAAAGGCCTTTTTCTGTAGTTCTCCACATCTATTTTTGAAGGCCAAAGTGCATAATTACATGGAGAAAGGGGAGAGGTTGAATTTTGTGGGAAAATTCCCCAAAACATGTCAAACAGCTAAATCTAGGTAGAATCTTGAGCAGCCTTTTAATTAAAATATAACAGGAAGATTGGTGGCATAAGGAGCTGAGGCTGATGTCATCTACCTGGATTTTAGGAAGACCTTTGACAGTTTCGCATCCTATTCTCATAGCGAAGCTAGCAGGCTGTGGAGTGGATGCTTACACAGTCAGGTGTGCGCACAGTTGGGTGGCCAGCTGGCTTGGAGACTGTCCCCAGAGAGTGGTGGTGAATGGGTCGTTCTGGGCCTGGAAGGAGGTGGGCAGTGGCGTCCCACAGGGTTCAATCCTTGGACCGGTGTTATTTAATATCCTCATCAGCGATTTGGACGAGGGTGTGGAGAGCACCCTTTCCAAGTTTGCAGGTGATACCAAGTTATGGGGCAGAGTTAACACACCGGAGGGCAGGGAACAGATGCAGGCCGATCTGGACAGGTTGGATCAATGGGCAGAACGAAATAGGATGCAGTTCAACAAAGATAAATGCAAGGTACTCCACCTAGGGAGGAGGAATCCCCAGGACACCTATAGGTTGGGGGATGACCTCCTCAGCAGCTCAGTGGCTGAGAGGGATCTTGGAGTCGTAGTTGACTCCAAGATGGACATAAGCCGGCAGTGTAATGGAGCCATCAACAAGGCCAATCGCACCTTGTGCATTAGCAGATGCATGACCAACAGATCGAGGGAGGTGATGCTCCCCCTCTACACGGCATTGTTCAGGCTACAGTTGGAGTACTGCACCCAGTTTTGGGCGCTGCTCTTCAAGAGGGATATGGAGAATCTGGAGAGGGTTCAGAGGAGGGCCAGTCAGATGATTAGTGGCCTCCATGAAAGACCCTACGTGGGGAGGTTGAGGGATCTAGATCTCTTCAGCCTTCACAAGAAAAGTCTGAGGGGAGACCTTAAAGCTGCCTATAAGTTTATCAAGGGAGGACAACAGGGAATTAGAGATGTGCTATTTACCAGAGCACCCCTAGGAGTAACTAGGA